CGGGCACCGACCACACTCACGGGCACCAACCACACTCACGGGCACCAACCTCACTCACGGGCACCAACCACACTCACGGGCACCAACCTCACTCACGGGCACCAACCACACTCGCGGGCACCAACCACACTCGCGGGCACCAACCACACTCGCGGGCACCAACCACACTCACAGGGCACCAACCACACTCACAGGCACCAACCTTACTCACAGGAAACTAACGATCCTCACAGGAAACTATCAGTGCTCCCAGGGCACTAACCAGTACTCACAGGCACTAACCACACTCACAGGCACTAACCACACTCACAGGGCACCAACCAGTACTCACAGGCACTAATGATGCCCCTTCCCTGGCCAGGGCGCTGCCAGACCGTGGGGGGAGGACCCCGTTTGAAGGGCTTTCCCTGCTGCTGGAGGGAGGACCACGCCTGTCTCTCACTTGTTGGTCCCCCTGGGCTCCTGCAGCTCCTGGCCACGGGGTCCGGATAGGTTAACACCAAAAGGAGCGACTGCTCTGGGAAGTCTCTGCTAAGAAGGTGCGTCCAGAGGAAGGGGCCCGCCCGCTACTGTAGTGCCAGCGAGCCCCACGCAGGCCCCCAGCAGCCTCACTGCCTCTGCTGGGGAGCCCCCTGGAGGGCGTGTTGTTGGGCTGTCTTCTCAGATGCTGTCCTCGGCCTGGTCCATGGTCACCATTAAGAACGCAGCCTCACCGAAACCGGTTTGGCTCAATGGATAGAGCGTCGGCTTGGGGACTGAAAGGTCCCGGGGTCGATTCCGGTCAAGGGCATGTACCTTGGTTGCAGGCATATCCCCAGTAGGGGGTGTGCAAAAGGCGGCTGATAGATGACTCTCTCTCATCGATGTTTCTAACTATTTCTCTCCTTTCCTCTCTGTACAAAATCAATAAAATATATTAAAAAACAAAAAACAAAAAACAGCCTCCACCATTGCCAAGTTCCCCCCTTTTCAGAGAGCCTCGCTGGCTGGCACACTGGCTGGGTGGTGCCGGAAACCAACCTTTGTCTCACTAATAGAAAAGCTGGTCAACTTTGAAACTCTGAAAGGTCAGAGCCAACCACTCCCTATCTGAGACAAGGTAACTGAGGCAACTTCCCCATCTTGTAATCATGTAAATTACTGATATGATAATCTGCTTATTACCTGCCTAAGGGCTATGAGTGTATCCCATAGTCTCAATAAAAGGGACGGCAAGGCTGGAGACTAGCGGCAGTCCTCCCACTAGTGGTGGGCTCCCTCCTGGCCCCCCCTATCCCCAAATTAAATTTCTTCTAGTCTCTCTCTAATTTGCATGAGGTCCTTCTCCAGAACCTGAACCCTGAACCGGAACCCTGAACCATGCAGGATGTGAAAGGGGGTCCCCTAGGGTGGGGGTGTGCGCAGCCTTGACAGGAGGCAGTGCCTGCTTGGGAAGGAAGGGGTGGGCGCTGTGCTCCAGGCTGCAGGGGAGCCGGTAGCTGATGTCATTGGAGGAACCTGCGGGTTGGCCATGGCTCCCCCTCAGCCCTGAGCCACCCTCTGCTGAGCGCACTGCCCAGCAGACCTGAGCCTGGGGTTTGGCCAGGAACCACACTGGGCCCTTGTCCCTCCCCGGAACTCTAGGAGATGTCCCTCCCTCTGTAAGCTCCCTCCATGCGAGGGGGCGTGGAAGGCACTGGCCCGCTGGAGCTGAGGCGGAGGCGAGTGAGGTGGGGAGGCCAGGGGGGAGGCGAAGGAAGGTGCTCTGCTGGGATCTGTGCTCAGGCTGCCCGCAGGGCTGCTGTCTATAACCTGCAACCTGAAGGCTCAACCGGGTCCTTGTCCGAGTTCTGAGAAGACCTGGCCTGGACCGAGGAGCCTACCCCACTGCGGGGACCCAGAGCCTGGCCCGGTGCCTCCACCTGCCCGGGCAGGAGCAGGGCTGTGCGTGCGGCCCGCCCACCCCGCCCGGGCAGGCCTCCCCGGCCGTCCCCCTGGCCTCCAGGAACAATGCATCCGATTGGCCACACGGCACGGCGACTGCCCGCTGCCCCCTCGTCCCTGGAATCCACGCCAGGGCGGCGGCCTCGGAGATGGCCACTGCTGGAGGCAGCAGAAGCGTGAGGGTCACAGCGACCTTCCAACCTGCTGTGAGGCCAACTTAAAGCACAGGCCACACTCTCACATTTAGAACAGTCTGGAACGGGAGTCATTAGAAAGGAACTAGTAGTGATGGCCGAGGACGGAGCTGCAAGCCAGGCGTGGGGCCGGGCCCCAAGTGGGTCTCACATGGCCTCGCCGTGGGGGCCGGTTGCCAGCACTGAGACCGACACGTGGCACTGAGCCCCCCGAAAGCTGGCTCCTCCGAGCTGCCTTCCCCGGGCACAGCGGAGGGTCCTGGAGTCCCCGCTGGGCCGGGCTCCCACTCCGAGTCCCTCATCCCGCACCAGGTGTCAGGGTGGGGGGGTTCCGGGTCCTGCCCCCCTCCCCGCGTCTGCGTCTGCGTCTGCCCAAACCTGCTCTCGTTTCCCTGGTTCTAACAGGGAAAACGGTCACGAAACGCCCACGCGGAGGCCCTCCCCGACGCGTCCGGCGCCTTGGATGTGCTTTTCAGATTTCTGTCTCCTGTCGGATGCAGCCGCCGGAGAATGTCAGGGCCCAGTGGGTCTCAGACGAGGCCGCACGCACCTGGGGCGCCTCTGGGCCCTGCTGGGGCTCGGGGCCAATTAAGGCAGGACCTCTGGGGGTGGGACGCAGGCACGTCCTCCAGGCGACTCCCATGTGAAAACATCCCTCGGAGTGTGTCAGCCGCGGAACTGCTGACGTTCAGGCGGCTGCTCTTTGTTCTGGGCGCGGTGCTGTGCGTGGCGGGGTGGCGCAGCCTCCAGCGCTGCCCAGAGCCGCACTAGCAGGGGTCATGGCGTTCTGGTCCAGCAGCCGGCCCAGCCTACGCAAGGCCTCTGAGCTGCTTTTGCGATTCCTAGTAGGTGCTAGGAAAGAATTCTAAGGAAGTGGTCTCATCCCCCCCCCCCCCCATCCCTCCGCCCCCTTACTACCAGGAAGCACACAGTCAGTGCAAAAGAAAGGCATTGAAATGAAAATCACAAGACGAGGACTTGGGCATCTTCCCTCCCCTCTGCATGGGGCCGCTGACTTCCCACGGGCATTTTGTTCGTCTGTGAGCGGCCTCACATTCTGGGGGAAAGCAGCAGGAAACACACACACACACACACACACACACACACACACACACACACGGTTACAAGCAAAAGGAGGGGACGGCTCTGCCGAGGACTGTTCCGCACGGGTGACGGTTGTTCTGATAAAGGACCGGGGAATATGGAGCACATAAGGGAGCACCCTTGCCACCAGCCCTGTCTGGGGTGAGGCTGATTGTGCGCTGGAGGCGAGGGCGCCCTGCGGAGCCTCCGGTGAGACGCTCAGGCCTCTCTTGCTTCCCTGGGATTCCAGCTCCGTGTGGACGGGGCTCCATCCCCGGTGGCTCCATCGCCTGCTTCCGTGAAACACAACCTGCTCCTTCGTTAACCACAAGTTTTCAATCGTTTGAAAAAGTCATTGTTAAGTTTGGTCGTGTCATTTTAAATGAAAAATCCTCGAACAGACCAGAGATCTTAATTTTTTAAAAACGTAGCTGAGTAGTTTAATTATGAATGTCCTTGCATATTCTCGGCATAGTTCATTATTTATGTTGCCGGTGAAAAAGCTTTTTAATTAACTAGCATGCTGGCAATCCATTGTGAAACGTACAGACGTCGACTTCCTAGCATCAACACGCTACACACACCACACACGGAATATCCTAGCAAATGAATGCGCTTTGGTCACTATGGGGAACTTGTTTCTAACTGATTTTAAAATGTGACTTTCTTTTTTCTGGGTAACAAAACACGGCTTCACAAGAAGCATCAGCGTCACCTGGGAGCTTTTCAGAAACTCGCAGACTTGGGTCCCGGTCCCGGGGCCCGGGGGCAGGTGTCACAGCCAGGTGCACGGCCCAGCTCTCCCGCCAGCAGAGCCGTGCGGGGGGGCTCCCGCGTGCTCGGCCTCCGGGGCAGCGGGAGGCCTCCGTCTCAGAGGCAGAGGAGTCAGTGGTGACACGTCTCGCGCACAGCGTGTCCCCTGCCCGGGGACGGACGCACCGGGCCCAGCGTGGACGGTGAATTCTCACCATGACGGGCTCAGCCCACACACGCTCAGAGCAGCGTCCGTTTCCCTGAGGGCCGGCGGCTCTGCTTTTCACAGGGAGAGGCCCAGGACAAGAACACGCACACCACAGACCCAACGGAAACGGAATTTATTTCCTCTTGGAAAACAACTCCAGTCATGTCCAGGTCCGGGCGGAGTAAACATGGCAACAGGAACATACAGGTCAGTCCGACCGACCCGGGAGCTCACGCGGTCCTCCCCCTCAGCCTCGTCTCCCGGGAAACGCGCCCACAGTCTACAGAACAACTATTGCATATATAGTGATGCTACCTGTCACATCGCAAGGCGCACAGACATACATACGGGCCGATCCGGCGGGGCTGTCCCGTGAGGACGTCTCCTCGTGGCTCCCAAGAGTCTTCGGCAATGAAAAAATAGTCTCGGATTTAATGCTGATTTACCAAAAAGGGAAAGTCTAGGCTGAAGGGTCCATGACGGCAAGTCCAAGGGCGCCCCCTGCGTCACGCAGGTGCCCGAACTGGGTCTTCCTGGGAAATACTTCCTCTTAGCCGTTCTGTCCGCTCTCCTCTTCCTGCCTGGACAGGGCCCATGTCCACTCGTCTTCATGAGACGTGTTCCTTTCCGACGACATCATACATGTGCAACACTTTATGTACAGAGTCTATCCGGAGCTCCCAGGTTCACACACACGAACATCCAGCGTCTGATAACACAGCTCATGGTACAATACAATGCTCTGAGTAATATACATGAACAAGGAGGGCTTCGTGCAAAGAGTGAAACATGTTCCCTTTTTGTGCCTCAGAAGGAAGTCTCCACAGACCGCGCTCCCACTAGCTGCTGTGCTGGGTCATCGTGTGATTCTGGAACAAAGAGAGAGAGACAGGGGGGACGTCAGTGCTTGTTTTCATCCACCACATTGTCCCACAGCTGCTGCCGGTTACGCTGCCAGGAAAGGAGTGCTCGCACCGGTGACTGGGTGTCCCCCCGCCCTCCGGGAGGGCAGGGCAGCGCCGGGCCCCCACGGAGGAGTGACTGGTCCTCTTCTCTGCCCACCACCTTCCCAGAACACCCGCCTCCCCCTCTCCTCATGGAAGCGCCACCCATCTTCACAGCCCAGGGCAGCACCACGTGAACCGTGTCCGGGATCTGCGTAATCCTCTTCCCAACGATGGCAAAGCTGTCAGATCATCGCCTTGGGTGGTGGCTCTGTCCACACCAGGGCTCTGTCTGTCCCTGGATATAAGCTTTCAAGGCAAAAGCTGCCCAGCCAGCCAGGGACAGAAGGAGAGCGGGTTCTCCAGCGCCCCCTGCAGGCAGGCCAGAGCCTCGCCAGCACAGGCTGTGGGGCACCCGTCAGGGCACAGGCCCACCCCAGTGGCCGCAGCCCTGAGCTCTGTCCTCCCCATCGCACAGCAGGTCCCCTTCGAGTGAACAGCTCCCTCCCACTTCCCGAGAGGCCGCTGGGCGCCGGCGTCCGTGCACTCGCTGGAGCAGGAGTCCAGAGTCCTCACGGCGGAGGGACAGCCCTAGAGGGTCCCGGGAAACGGGCACAGGACCAGCATTGAGAGAGAAAGAACCCAGCCCTCACGCGAAGAGCATCGAGAAAGAACCCAGCCCTCACGCGAAGACCCTGTGCTGAGTCGCGAGAGCACACGTGGCCCCTCGCGGCCGTGGGCTGACTTCTGGGGTGGAGAGCACAGCAGGTCTGCCTAGCGTCATGCAGACCTTTCTAGAGGGGGAGCGAGAGCCCTCCTGCACGTGTGTCCGGGAAACACAGGCATCATTTATTATCATTGTTTAAAAATGTATATGTTTACTTCAGGGCAGAAGGGAGAGAGAAACGTCAGTGATGAGAGAATCACCGATCGGCTGCCTCCTGCACGCCTCCTACTGGGGACCGGCCCCAACCTGGGCTGTGCCCTGACCGGGAATGGATCGGGGACCTCCTGGTTCAGAGGCTGACGCGCAGTCGCCGAGCCTTGCGTGCCAGCACCGACATCAGATCTCTAGAGGGGGCCGAGAAGCCAGAGGAGAGGGCCCCAGAGCAGCACTGACAGAGGGAGGTCTGTGCGGCTCCCGCTGGCCGGTGGCCATGCCATGGAGCGGGTCCGAGTCACGGCAGGGCCGGCGTGGCGGGAGGGCTGGCCTGCTGGCGTCCTGCTCTGCGGGAAGAGGAAATGGCTGCAGAGAACAAAGCGGTAATCTCACCCGCTGGACAGGCGGTTCGGTCCCAAAGCACTGAATGCAATGACAGGCTGTGAGGAACATATCTGCTCAGCGGAGGAGGAGTGTTTCACATAATGAGGAGGACGGGGAGCGGTCCGTGGGGATGGGCGAGGACGATGGGAGAGGAAGCGGGAGGGGAGAGGACTCCTCAGCCCCGCAGGGAGCCCTCTGCAGAGCCCTTTGGAGGCCCACGTCCAAGGAGCTGAAACTGCACCCCATGAACCCCAGCGACGGGCAGTGGTTTTACACGAGGGGGGTTGTGTTAAGAAATGAAACCCCAGCACACCTTCCCGCGGACAAGCAGTCCGCGAGGCGAGGCGGCGGCCAGGCCCCACCCCCGCCCCGCGCGGCCTCCCTCCCGGGAACGGCGGCAGAGAGCTGGAAAACAGACGCGTAAGAAGTCCCTTCCAGCGCCGTGTTTCCCTCAGACTGTGAGCGGCCTTTCATTTTCCAGGCCTGGAGTTCTCATTTCGGCTTGGCACGCTCACCCGTGATCAATTCAGCTGCCGTTCGGAGCGCTGACCACATTTACTGGTCAAACGGCTTAATCCTATTTAAAAGGCAGTCCAAGCAAAATATTTTTAAAGAAAAGCAAAACCCCGTGATCCCCCGAAACCGTTCACCTTGGCCAAGCTAGCCCACGCCCGTCCCTCCTGATGAGAACTGAGTATGTGCCCTGATGGCCACGATGGAGCTTTGGAGGGAAGCCCGGGAGGGTGGGGGCGGGGTGAGCCGGGGAGGGGGAGGGGCCGCCTCCCAGGATGGAAAAATGAAGCCCCACCTTCCGCGGCAGCCCAGACTGTCGGTCCCTTGGCAGAGGCCACGTCTGGTTTGCGCCGTGTAACCCTTTCTTGGCACCGGCAAAAGGTTAGGCAGCCGCGGCAGTAACAGGAATAATGGGGGTTTTTGTGAGCTGTGTTGACTTGAAGATGTTCCTCATTTCTTTACCAGGACTTGTCTATGTATAGCTCTTTGTCTCAAACAGATTCTGACAAGCTTTTTCAAACGAAGGGAAAGAGCCAGCAGCTGGTTGAAGAGAAGCAGCACCCGCACAGCTTTGCACGAGTTCGCCAGGCCATCAGCGTGTCGGTTTGAACTGCAGTTGCATTCGGTTTAAGTGAGATGTTTTCCAGCCGGTGGAACGGCAGACAGTGTGGCTGCAGGGTGCGGGGCAGGCGGGCAGAGAGGTACAGAGAGGACGGCTCTGCCTCCAGCAGAGGGTGGCAGCCAGGCAGCCTGTTGTTTTTCCTTTCGTGGAAGTAACACACACATTCCAATCAATCACCGCTGATTAACTAATTACTCGGCCTTCCCTCTATCTATCGGGGCTGGCCTTTATCTGTAAACATGAGGGCGGGGGGGTGCGCTCGCTGCTCGGAAGCGCCGTCCGGGCACTGACAGGCGCAGCTCTGGCTACGGGCAGAGCACATCGCCCACCTTGAAGCGCGCCTGCTTCCTCTTTTTATGTCATTTCTTCCCCCAAACCAAAGCACGTGGCTTCCCACCGGCTGGGCAGCCAGGCTTCTGACCTGCATTCTTCCCAGACCCGTTAGGTCGGCCTGAGCTGGGCATCCAGCTGGCGTAGGCAATGCCTGCCAGTCCTGCCTCTCACCTCCCCGCGAGGCGGCTTTCTCTCCGTGTCTGCCGGCCCCAGGCCGCGCCGCCCGGCCGCGGTATTAACGGGTGAAGACCATTAGCAGCCCGGCCGCTCCTGCCCGTTCCCGGAAGCACAGCCCGTGCCAACTTAAACTGACACAAAGCCGGGCCCCCGAAGGACAGCTGCTCCGGATACGGGGGGCGTCACCGCTCGGAGCGAGCACAGCTGCCCGCGAGGCGCCATGGCCGCAGCTGCGGCCGCCGGGCCCGCCGGTTCTTCTCGGACATTCGCGAGGCCAGCGTCACGTGGACTTCTGCAGCAAACGGACCGGCGTTTTTGGCTCCGAGCTCTTAGCACTAAATCTCTGGGTTGAATCAATGGAAGTACTATATCTCCCACATGAATCAATACATTTGGTTCAATACGTGTTCTATTAAATTATACTTTCTAATCAAGAGTTTTACATTTCCATCCTTTTCTTTTTCATGCCCCACTTCCGTGGGGGTGAAATGGCTTTGCGGTGTCCAGAGCTCACGGGGACAGGGTGCCCCTCTTCTCCCCCCCCCCCCACCCCGCGTTAAAGAATTGTCACAACGCAAAAGGCAGCCTTTCCCACATGTTCATCAGGCCAAGGAGATGTGAAGGTAATAAATTAACGTTTCAAAAGTCCACACAATTGCAGAGATAATGCTGAGTTTTAGATGAATTAAATGTGAGCAGCCTCAGAGCTGGGAGCACCAGAGTGAGGAATAGACTCCAAAGACCCAAATTATCCCCAAGACCAACCAGTCCCCATCGTGCCCCCGGAGTTCCCATGTCCACCGGACGAGGTTCTTCCTGGCTGAGCAATCCAGTCCTTGTGTCCGCACGGCCCTGGCCAGTGGGCACAGGAAGCAGACGTGGAACGGCCTGTGAGGCGTGCTCCAGTTCACAGCACATCTCCAGAAGGCGGTGTGCGTGTCCCCGAAGTGCTGGCGAGCCAGGGACGAGCTCCTTAGTGGCGCCCACAGCCAGGGGAGGCGACCAATGCTCACGCCGCCGACTTGCTACCCGGAAAGGGGTTCTGCTCTCCCTCCGACCGCACTTCTGAGCCCGCCTGCTCAGACACTAGAAGCGAAGTCCCAGAGCCCAAGTCCACATTTCCAGCCTGGGAGCTGCCCAGCGCGGGGCTGGGCTCCGGCACCGGTAACATGGGAGGGGCTGGTGCTGATCTGACCCCTGGCTGGGCCTCAGCGGGGATGAGGGGGGATGAGGGATGCGGCTGCCATGGCCTCCACCAGCTGCAGGGAGCTCTGGGCCCAGCGCTGGGCCCTCACCTCCTGCACCAGGCTCTGGGTGAGGCTCACCTGGTGCTGGAAGGAGAGGGAGGAGAGGGAGGAAAAGGAAGAGGAGGAGGAGGAGGAGGAGGGGAAAGGGAGCGAGGGCTTCAGAGGCAGGAGCAAGCACAGGGTGAGCTGAGGCGCAGGAAGTGGACACTGTTAGGGCTCCAGGCGTCTCTGGGCTGCAGACCACCCCAGGCTGGGCGGGGAGGTGGGGGCACCGGAGGGGAGCACCTGTTTTCGCTGCTTGGGGAGGGGGTCTCTTCTCCACCAGACAGAGCTGGGTGATCATAGGACAGCCCCGCCACCCGGGCTCGGCACGACGCGATCCCGAAGGCACGCGGACACTGATCGCCAAAGCCCAGGAGCCCCGCTAGCTCCCGTGGAACCCCGTCTGGAGCTGTGACAGCCCGGCATCGCCGAGAGAAACAACGCCCGCCCGCTGGTCTCTCAGCGGGGAGGGCACTCCGCTGCTGTCAGGAAGGGAACCCGGACCGAGGCCGTCCTTCCTGAAGACGGGGGTGAGCCTCAGGCACTGGCTGGCTGACCGCTGCTCTGCACAGCTGACAGGCTGGACTAGTTCCCTTTTACAGCTGACCACCCCTTCCCCGCCTACCACATGGAGGAACAGGGCTGAATTAGGAGAATAGGCCAAAAAGAGCGAAATGGACTTTGGAAAATGTATCAGCCTGGTTCGCATGGCTCAATGGTTGAGCAT